CATAGAGACACTTGAATTGGCATCAGTTTGGTGGAAGTGACTTGATACTTTACCTTTCAGAAAAGAAAAGGCGAAAGCTTTTTTTATGGTGTGGATACCATAGGGAAATAGTATATTGCCTCTTTCTCACCTTGTTTCCCACCAATTCAGTCATCCCCTGTCACTCCCCTCAAATAGTCTTTGTCCTGCTCTCTCTCTCTGCTCATTTTCAGCATCTTTTCCCCTTTGGCGGTGTGCCCTGGACCCCTCACTCAGCCAGCGCGTGCCTGTAAAGGTTAATGCTAATAATACCAGAGACCTGCCTGAACTCCACCAGGACGCCTGTGTACACAATTTAAGCTCAAGACTTGGCAGAGAGTGTCTGTGAAGTTTCAACAGGTTTTTTTTGTCTTATTCAGCCTCTAAAAACCCAGTCAGATTAGGACACGGCTATACAAATAAACATGACTTGACTTGACATTTAATGGGCAATAAGCTTTTCCCTGCTTCCTCTCCAGTCCACCTGGGCCATTTGGATGCCAGAAAATGAGTCATTCACAAATCACCATGATTTTGACACACATTAGCATATGCCTGCCCAAATTAAAGAAATGGTTCACACAAAAATGAAAAGTCATTTTCTCACCTTCATGTTGTTCCAAACCTGTATGACTTCCTTCTGCAGAACACAAAAGAAGTTATTTTGAAGAGTGTGATAACCAGTGTTTTGGTTACCATAGACTTCCACTGTATGCACAAAAAAGAAACATTTCTCAAAATATGTTCTTTTAGGTTCTTTTTTTACGCAAGAAAGTATCTCCATGTACAGTAACTTCCATATAACAGCATAGTTCATACAATTCTGTCATTATTTACTCAACCCCATATAGTTCCAAACTTGTCTGACTTGTATACATCCTGCTGACTTTCTTTCTTCTGTGAAACATGAATAAAAGATTTTTTTGGGAGGAGAAATATTTGAGTTTTTTTTTTCCTCCATACATTGGAAGTCAGTGGGCTCCAATGTTGTTTGGTTCCCAATTTTTTTCCCCTCTGTACAGTGGAAGTCAATGGTCTCCAATGTTTTTTTGGTTCCCCAATTTTTTTTTTTTTTTTTTTTGAGAAATATTAGATTTTGTTTTTTTTTGGAAGTCAGTGGGCTCCAATGTTGTTTGGTTCACAATTTTTTTCCCTCTGTACAATGGAAGTCAATGGGCTCCAATGTTTTTTTGGTTCCCCAATTTTTTTGTTTTTTTGAGAAATATTTGATTTTTTTTTTCCTCTGTACAATAGAAGTCAATGGGCTCCAATGTTGTTTGATTCCCAACGTTCTTCACGGTTTTGTGTGTGTGTGTGTTCCACAGTAAATGGCATGAGGGTCTGTAAACAATGATGGAATTTTCATTTTAGGGAGAACTATTCCTTTAAATTAAAAGGAAAGAGTGAAAAGGGTTGTGTAAAACTAAATTACAACCTTGAATAAAATTATAAGTGGGCTTCCAAGAAAAAAAAATAAAAGTATAGGATAGGGCCCTTTTGATATTCTTGTAATTTTGGTAAGTTACATTTTGGCCTAAAGTTTTACCTTTAGGCCAAAAAAAAAGGGTTTTACCTTGTAGCTGTCATAATAAATTGCTCTGCGGTAAAATAGAAATATATGCCTAATGTCCTAAAAGATTGAAATTTCTTTCTACATTATAATAGAGAGCGACAACTAAATCATGGCCGCATTATAACTAAAGCTTTAGTATGAGCATTAACAGATGTGTTTTGTACAAAGCAGCTATGTTCTGATTTTCCACAAACAATAATTATATCAGTCAGATGTAACTCTTCTTTGTTCTTTATGGCTAGTTTCTTCCACCATAGCCTCATCTTTACTCTTAATACCACGCAATGTGTTGAATGTTTCTCCTGACCCCCGTGATCCATGATGGACAGATAAAGTAGTTCATAAGGAGGAGGAGGGACGGCACAGCCGCTGTGATTATAGAAGAGATTTGTGAAAGCCTAGAGAAAAGTGCCAGATGGCTGAAAATCTCAAAGCCCTCCGTTCTCTATCAGCCATGACACACAGACATTTCTCCCGCCTCCAGACTTCCATCTCTTTAGATCTCTCGCTCTCTCTCTTGCTCTCAGTCTTTCCCTCAGCCTCCTCCTCACTCTCTTTTCCTCTAGACTTTGCAGTGTTTACTAGCTCCTTCACAGTTGTTGGTCAAAATAACAGGAGTATATTTTAATTTCCTCTTTCTCTTTCTGCTGTGCTCATGCTGTTCTTCCTGGGTCATTCCTACTCTAAAGTACATTTTCATATCTCTGAGAAAAATTATTTGGGATAAAATATTAAACTTAGGCATTTTAAAGATGGAAGTTTTTATTTAGTTTACATGCAGCATCATTTCTAGTGGGAAAACAACAGCATTGTTAAGTATTAGCAATGGGTCTGATGGATTAGGTGTTGTTTTGTAATCTTAGACGGGTTTTTTTCACTCTAAAACCTTTCATCCAGTTTGATAATATTAGATAAATTGGTACGGTAGTCATTTTTTCTGGTATTCCTTAGGGTAAAACTTAAGGTAAAGGTATTTTTAAGAGAAATTCCCAATCCACAAGGATTGTGAAGGTGAATCATTCCTTTCCACTTGATCATAATTCTGTAGTAGACTGTGGTGTAATGTTCAGTCTTTTTGAAACATCATCCATCCATGTACATTCCTTTGATTTGAGACTGTCTCCAATTTTTCTCACCCACTTCCTTTTGTTTTCCACTTATATGGCAGACTGCACTCATAATGAAATAAGCCTGGTCCAGCACTGGTCTGTCTGTTCGTGTTAAGTGGACTGAAAGCAACTCACTTAGAGAACTTTTATGCACTTGAAAGCCGTGATACTTAGCAGAAGTAAACTGATCCTGACACTTGCAATGAGAGTCATCCATCTGAGGGGTTGCATGTGTATGTGTGTGTGTGTTTGTACATCTGTAGGTTGATTATTTCCTTCTATGGTTAGGCAATAGTTGGCCATTAGCCTCCAGGATGCTTTGTGCTCTTTGCATGATTCCTTCTGCTTCCACTACACAGACTGTGTTAAATAGGGACACCCTGTAGAGAGTAAACTTGTAGATTGTCTTTCCCATTTGATCTGCTTGTTCATTTTATAGCATGACCTATCCAGGACAGATGGGTAGTTTAGATCAGCCCAGTGGGTTGTCTGAGACTGAGCATGTTTTGTGAGGACAGAGTCACTTGTAATGTTCTTGTAATCATTTAACATCATCTGTGTCTTACACTGTAAAATATGAAATTTATGTTAAGAAACAGCATCTTTGTTTGGCCAGAACTTTACTATAAGAAAATATGGTAGTAACAGTTTTACAAATGTAACTTCAATGTAACTTTAAAAAATTTAATGTAACTTATAAAAACATAAAATTAACTGATATAATGTTAATACACCAAAATACTAAATCTGTTTTGTACCTTTATAATATAGTGACAACCATCATAAAAACACAGGTGGTAAAAAAAAAAGCCACAATGAATCAAACTTCATCACAGCTTTTCCACAAATACTAATCTATGGAAGGTTTACAGTGTCACATGCACAAATATAAAACACCATTCATGACAACAAACATGACACTACAATAATGCAATAAACATGAATTTAACGACATATGAGGTAACATAAAACCCAAAATGTACATAAGTAATAACAAAAAAATAAGAATAAACAATTAAATGAAAAACCATCAAATGAAGGAATTCTCAAGGGAATGTCAGTTTGCATTTTTTCCACTGTAAATTACAGGATTACTTGATTTTCACTTCCAAAAACTGTACATTTAACAATGTCCTGTCTACTGTATCTATTCCTGTTTTCATTGAATATAGTAAGGTAACTTTTTATGGTAGGAATTTTACAATCTTTTACTAATAAAATTGCTTATTTTTACAGAATTTTTCTTGCATTGTGATGAAGATGCAACTTTTGGCCCACTGCAGATGCATCCGGTTAGACTCTTGTCTTGACCCAAGTTACAGTTAACATGGTTGCTATGCCCCTGAATCTGTGTTGCATCTCCATGCAGTGAAATACAGCGTCACTCTTCTGTGTTGATTTGTGTCAAGGAAAACATCTAATTTGTGGGGCGTTATATGACAGGGTTGGCCCTTTGCTGACCCTGCTGAGATGACCAGCTGGTCTTGACGCGGCCTAAGTAAACGTCAGGCTTAATGATCACCCCTGAAGAAGTGCTAACCTGCTCTCTGTGTGAGTGTGAGGATGTATTATGTGGTTTATGTGTGCATCGGAGAGTAGAAGAGCATAAAAGCTTCTTTTGTTATTAACGTTTACCTTAATTAATAGTACACGATTTTTTGTGCACTAAAGTTCCCAAGACGGAACAATTCCCAGAGCAGATATCCACAAGATCACGAGCGAGGTTGGAGACTTGCATGTCTCTAGGCCAAAGCACATTAAGTCAGCAAGACATTTCTTCTCACCCACCACTTACTGTACTTGCATTACCAAGGGAACATAATGTGTAATAATTGCTCTATGTTATTTCACAATGATTTGCCAGCATCCCACAGGCACCACATTGGCATCATAATGATGCTAGGATTTGTATTTAACTCTTGACCTCCTAAAGTTTTCTGTTTCTCGTTGTTTTCTTTGTTTACTGTACATGCACAAGAATATTCAAATATTGATCAGAATTTGGTCTCTTTCCTATCTTATGTAAGCACTATGCCAATTTTCTTGCTTCTGGAAATAGGTCTGCTGAACAGAACAGCTTGTATACTGTGTTCCTGTAATGATCAAAATGTATTCACATTATTCAGAATATCCAACATAACTAAATATTTAAATGTATGTGTCCAAACAAGGATGATTTTGATAGTACATACAGACAGTTGTGAATATGCAAAGCTATTAAAAATACAGTCTTAACCAGAAAATGGATGTGATGTTCCTATAAATAAGCTCACCAATCTATTGTATTATTTTCTTCATAGGCTCGTAGGAAAGAAGTGTTCCTGCAGGAGCAATATGGACAGTTCAGTCTGACGGACCCGTTCCTTGCCCTGCAGAGGGACTTTGAGTCAGGGACGGGGTCAAAGGACCGCAGACCTGTTAGCGCGAATCCCATTACTGTGCTGGAAGCTGTTATGGCCCATTGCCGTAAGATGCAGGAGAGGATGTCTGCCCAGCTCTCGGCTGCTGAGAGCAGACAGAAGAGGGTAAGACCTAAAATTGTGTGTTTAATTGTGTATTCATATATGGTTAACAGGGCAAGACTACAGAAAGGATTGTGTGTGAATTATTCAAAGAATATTTGCATATTCTATCTGAAATAAATCCTCCTTTCCTGTAGGATTACCTTGATGTGATTACGTTTGCTGTTAGAGGTTTGCTGAGGTGTTCCTAGTTATTCTCGGAATATATTCTAGTATGCAATGTGTACACCTGTGTCTTTTTCGGGGGGGTATAGTAATGTGTCTACATCAGCTGCACTGATACTGTTCTAGCACAAACAGTGACATGAAATCAAGACTTGGAAGGCAAAATCCAGTTTTTCTAACCTCCACATAAGCATAGTACATGTCAGAAAACAGTAAGAAAGAGAGAAAGGAGAGCAATGATGGTATACAAAGAAGAGGAGGTGTTAGAGAAGGAGAGAAATGGATGCTAAGCTCTAAAACACTCTGCTAAACACATTCGTAAATCTATATCTTACAATTTGAGCTAGTACTACGAAGAATACAAGCTACATGATATCAAAGCTGGCCTTGAACTTTAAAAACACACACAGGCGTGCTTCTTCCAAGTGACCCCTGGCCACCATCTCAGTGGCTTCAGTGATATTTTAGGATAGGCCTATTATATATAACAAGATACAGTTTATATATAGGTACATAGCATGCATATTTACATGTTACACTGACAGTGAGAGAACTGCGCTCTCTGTTCCAATAATAAACACTTGTACTTGGTTGTTATGGTGACAGTTCTCTTATTGCATTGGTACAGTAGTTGTATGTTATTACAGTGATTTCTGTCTGTTTCTAGCCACTGTGCCTAATGTTTTCTCATTATTTCTGAGCAAGTATTAATTTATTCATAGGCTAAGCAGCTCAAATCTGTAAATAAAGCCTGAACTCTTATCTGTAACATGTAGTGTGAATAAGAGCTAATTGGTCATCTTTGTTTCCTGGAAGTATTGTATTGCAGCAGTTGATGGTAGTAGTGTGTCCCCTATTTTGATATTCAATTTTCATATTAAAAGAAACTGATACCTCAAAGGTCAAACTGCTATCAAACATGATTGATGTGATCATCTTAGCCAATACCTTGGCACATGAGAACTGATCCCTTGACCTACTTTACAAAAATACAGCTAATTAAGCCAGTCTCCAAAATAGACATTGGGGTTTATTAATAGATTTTTTTTTAAATGTGTGGCTTATAAAACATAGAAAAACACTACAACTGATAAATTAATGCAAATGCTTCATTAGTGGAGCTTAGACATAAGCAGAAAGTTATTTAAGGTTAACATAGTGTGACCTCTGATTTCAGGACATTTACTCCAAGTTTTGTTGTACTAGATTTTAAAGTAATTTTTTTAATTTTCTCATTGTCCACTGGACTGACAAACCTTTAATTGTTTAATAATCAGTGTCTCGCTTTATGTGTGTGTTATCTACTCTCTGCGAGTCTCACGTTTGCCCTGCTTCTGCTGTGTCTAGCTTGAAATGGAGAAACTGCAGCTGCAGAGCCTGGAGCAGGAACACAGGAAGCTGTCGGCTCAGCTGAAGGATGAGCGAGAGAAAAATAAACACGTGGTGATGTCACTGGTGCATGAATGCAAGCAGCTAGCTGCTCGTGTAGTCGAAGAGAACCAGCGCTTTGAGGAGCTCTCATCCTGCACTGAGCAGGAAGGCCGCTCCGTGGGACGACTGGAGGAAGAACTGGCATATGAACGACGTCGTAGCCAACAGATGGAAGCGGAGATGGAGAAACAGCTGGCCGAGTTTGACACAGAGCGAGAGCAGCTACGGTCCAGGCTTAGCCGCGAGGAGATGCGTGCTGAGGAGCTGCGAGCTGAAAGTGAGAATCTCCGCCAGCAGGTGGAGCAACTAAGAACTGAGCGATGCAAAGACGCCCCGCCACTGCCTCCTGCCCCAGTTAAACCCAAGACTGTGACATCTGTGGCTGTGGGCACCGAGGCCACTGTCTGCAAGACTGCCTCCTCTCAGACAGATGTACCTCTGGAAAATGAAGGGGCTAAGAAGGTACCACTTTCCATCCCCGTCAAGCCTACAGGTTCCACCTATGCTAGCATGAACCTACCTAAAACTTCCAGTGTGGGGCGGGGGCTACACCACGGGAGCTCTCAGGCAGAAAATGGAGGAGAAGGCCAAACGCATGCGCATGGTTCACATTCACCTGGTATGTCTGCTACCTTGCCGACTGGGGTCAGTCCACGTGTCCAGGCGGCCCGTTACAAATTCCAACCCTCTGCTTCGGAGCAGGACCAAAATGGAACTGCAAACCAGAGCCCCCCTTCCCGCGATCTGTCCCCCACAAATCGAGACAACTTTGCAGCCAAACAGCAGGCCCGCCACACAGTCACACAAGTTCTCTCCCGCTTTACAAGCCCTCCATCAGGGGGCCCCCCTGCAGCCCTTCGCCCTGGTCTGCCACACTCCGCATCTGAGGGGGGACCATTCACCGGGCGTTTGGGCCACCCCCAGATGGGCCTTAAATCACCAACTGTGGCCCGCATTGACCGGGGTAACCCACCTCCCATCCCACCAAAAAAACCAGGACTGTCCCAGACACCTTCCCCTCCACACCCACCAATCAAAGTAGTAGGTGAAGCCAGCAGGTCCCCAGGAACAGGACTGGGGGTGGGCCTTGCCAAATCAACTGCCACCCCTCAGCTTCCACCAAAGCCCTCTTTAGATTTGGGCGGTACAATCCCAGCCTTGACTGCGTCACAGGTGGGTGCTTCCTGTACTAGCTGGCCATGGGGGTCGCAGCCGACAGCAGCATGTGTGGAGTGTCCCCCTGTCACCACCTCCTCCACAGCTACCATTGTCAGTAGCCCCTCCATAAACCCACCTAGTCTTACGTTCCATAGTCCCCAGCACCCGGGCAGCCCCCTGGCAGCAGCATCAGGTAAAAGGGTGCTCAATTCTTCACCCTTGCTTTCACTGCTTCTCCTCTCTACTCCCCTGCTTTTCCATACTTGATGTATTCTACAGTAAGTCCTAGCAGAGGAGGACATAGACTTGGAGAAACCAAGAGAGGAGTATTCATACACTACTAGGGTTACCTGCCAGTTGAAATACAGTACTTCAACGTAACCAAGAATATTTGTAAGATTCTTGAGGGCACCCATGTCAGGACAGGTTCTTGACTTCACAAAAGCACTTTTAGATATGAATAGGTCAGGTTGACCCTCACTTGACAAAGCAGGTCTCTAGGGGTCTTTCCTGTAACCCATTCTGAAGCTGATGCCAGAGGCTGCTCTATCCCCTTTACTCCCATTGACCTACAGCATGGTTCTGCCTCTCCTGTGTTCCACCACTAACCTGTTTCCCACAATGTCTTATATTAACCACTCCACCGTGTCAATGCCACCATCTGTTTCTTTGTTTTACCGGCTGTAGAGAAACTTGAAACCTGTGAATGTGGTGTCATTCTCTGCATTTTTAATGATTAATGCCATTCTTTCAAAGATGTTCCTAGACAACTAACCCAATATAATTGTATTTGTCAAGATCTTGTACTTAAATATTCCTAAATATGCCTCCCTGCATTTATTCTCCACAATAGTATGCACTTCTACATCTGAATTATACTGTTGATGTCTTGGAGAACTGTAAATTCATATCTTAGAGCATAGTTGTCTAACCCTGCTCCTGGAGGGTCAATGTCCTGCAAAATTTAGCTCCAACCAGGCTTGGTTCTACGGGGGTGCTATGCACCCTCAAACAAAATCAATAGCACCCTCAGTTAAAGCTGTAATAATGGCATTTTATTGCAGATTTGGCAAACTATCCAGAGCAGTGCATTATGGTTTGCGCACTGGAGACCGATTTCTGTTTCAATGTGGTTTTGCTGCATTGGGCAATGTAGCCAATTACGGACTTAAAAAAAAAAAAAAAATATATATATATATATATAAAGGTTAGAGCACCCTCACTAATTTAAGAAGCACCCTCAGTGATTTGATTCTGGAGCCGGGCCTGGCTCCAACACACCTTTCTGTAAATTTGCAGTGTTCCTGAAGACCTTGGTTAGCTGGTTCAGGTGTATTTGATTGGGGTTGGAGCTAAACTCTACAGGACAGTTGCCCTCAATGTGCAGAAATGGACACCCGTTTTAGAATAAAACGATACCTTCCATAAAGGCCAGCATAGATTAACAGGAATGTCCTTGCTGATCTGGCTGGTTAGTGCCAATTTGTTGTTAGTCTAGCTGGTGGCTGCTCAAACAGCATGGTCTTTCTTGTAAAGTACACCAGTACATCCTACGCTGATGACCAACATAAAAAAAACACAACATATGCTGGTCTTTTCAGCAGGGTAGCTCCAAAAAAGCTTTGACAAAAATGTCAGTTAGGTAGAGTCATGCATTGGTATGTAAGCCAAAAGTATGAGACGGCTCCAACTGCAGTTAGATTTTCCCCTTGGAAACAGTGTCAGAAGCTTTAGAGTTCTCTCACATTTTGAAATACCACCCTGTCTCTGTAGGCCACTTCATAGCTCTCTGAGACCACCAGAGAAAGACAATTGTAACGCCAGTGAAAGCAGAGCAAGTATTCCAGCAGTCTTCCTCTTCATTGTCACTAGAGACTAATCCACAGGGTAGCTCTGAGAGATGTCGGTAGCTAGCTGTCATCGCTAAATGCTAAAAATTAGCACTTTTCTCCCTCTCTCTGCAGCCACTCAGCCATGGCAGTTCTCTGATGCTCCTCTGCTCTTTCTGCCGCCCATTTTAATCCAGAAAAGAACCAATAATCTTATGCTTTCCTCTGGACTTCAATGAAACAGCCTATCTCTCTCACTTCAACTCCCTCCACTAACCGAGATAAACATAGAGAATCCCTAGAGACAAAGCTATTTACAAACATGCCCTAGCATTAGAAATCAGATACTAGACTAGTTACATCCACACTCATTTGAATTCTGTTTTCATAGGTACCAATTAGCCAGTAGTATTCCCTGTGCTTTGTCAAAATTCATCTGTTTCTCTGCTGTAGTTTCCATCTTTCTAATGCTGTCTAATTGACGTGTCTCACACAATCTGCTTCATGTTTAGAATGTTTTAGTTTGACTGACACAATCTGTGATGCGTGACTTTGATTAATGTACCATAAACTGCCTGCTGCCTGATTTCATTTATCTGGCTGAGTTTTGTCTTTTATTTGACTCTTTGTTTTTAACCTGATCCAAAAACAGATGAAGTTGACTAGCATTTGAAAAAGGATCTGATTACTAGGAGAGAGGGTGTGAATTGTAGATACACTCTTTAGAATAATACATTTCCAATGTTGTGCCAAAATGTGTACATCACATGAACATTTACCCTTTGTTTTGACTGAATTTGGCTTACTTGCATTTCCTTTAGAACACAAATGTTTGTGTGTTCATCTCTCTGGAGAGGAATTTGGTTGCTGAACTACAAAATAGTTGTCTCGGTCAGCACTGCGCCAGTGGCAGTGGCCTTAAATTATTTCTGAATGACAAATGGAGTCGTTCTTCTGGGTAATGTTTTGGATCAGAGAACACATTTTGACACAATACAAGCACCCTGCCTCACTAGTTACTGCTGTTGCTTGAACCCTCCCAGGCTGGTGTCCCTCCATAGTCCCCTCGCTAACCTGCGGTGACCCCGTCCCCCTGGATGACGGGCAAACCCTTCTCCTCCAAGCTGCTTCCCAGGGAAATGTCACTTTATTGTCTATGCTGCTTAACCAAGATCCACTATTGGATATTCATCACCATCAACATGAGTTAACCTCTGCCTTGATCTCTGCTGCTCTTAATGGATACACAGGTACGTGCTGGGCAGATTAGTATTTCTATGCATGAAATCATTGAAATTTGCTAGCTTTGCATAAGTTTTGCATAAGACATTATCCAGTGATTGTTTTTCTATAGATTTAGAATTACTTGTGTATACATACACAGTGAATATACTGTATGTGTGTAACTTGTGTATACATACACAGTGAATATTGTGTATGTGTGTATATATATATATATATATATATATATATATATATATATATATATATATATATATATGTATATTTATAATATGTAAATAATGTTTTAATGTCTATTTTTTTAGACTGCTTAAATTTGCTGCTGGCTTCAGGGGCATCTGCTGATGCTGTTGATGAAACAGGATTTTCGCCGTTACATGCCGCTGCTGAAAATGGTCACCATGGGTGAGTCCTCTCTTCTCAATTCCCTCGCTTTTGTGCCATTTTAAGTCTTTTTTTTTGTTTTCAAGAACAGACAGTTTTGCGCCTCATTTTGCACTGTTATTAGCATCATATCAGGTGATCTGATCATAAGTTTTACAAAAAGTTGTCACTTTTTTTCCAAGTATACTTGCAAATTTTAATCTCTCATACATTTTTATGGGATTTTTGGTCTCACTTGATATTAGGTGGCCTTAACTACTATGTAACTACTTAACTACTATTTTACATTGAAATTAATATTTGATGCAATGCACATATTGTGTACATACATGTTTTTAGATTGTACTTGTATTTAAAAAAACCTGCATGTAATTACATCTGACTGACAGGTGAGTAGGTGGTATGCATCAAGAAGGATTAGCATTTAAAATAAAATGTGATGTACTCATATGCGCTTGTGACTACCTCAGTATGTGGATTGAGTATCCAAATTACAAAATGTTTTGGATCTCTTTTGGACATGTATTTAGCCCTGCCCAGTTGTGATTAAATCGTGTTATCAGGGTTTGCGCAATTTCATGTCTCTGATGTGTTTCTCTATGCAATAATATCTGCTCTGTCATTGGTAGGTGTGTGAGAGCTCTTGTGAAATGCGGAGCTGATTTGGAGAGAGAATGTTCGCAGGGAATGACCCCTCTGTACCTGGCCTGTGAACAGGGACATGTGGAGTGTGTGAAAGTTTTGCTAGACGCAGGAGCGGACTGTTCACATGTCACGACTGTGAGTTTTCAGATCCGCACTGACACCAGTGTCACACAAATGTCAATTACATTCTGCGTTTCTGAACACTTTAGGAAACACTGCCCCTCTTTTCATCTCCATGGTTACCTTAACAGTTGAGCGTGGGTATTTCGCTGTCTGTGTGTTGCTCAGAATGTAATCACGGTGCCTGTTTTAGAAACACTTAATTATGCCCTAGATGTTTTCTCAGTTTTCTCTAATTTACTGGGCTTGACATAACCCAAATTATCCTGGGAAATTCTAAATGTCTATATTAAGGTGGTTTTTATTTGGTGGTTGGTTTATCTTTATGTGCAGTTTTTAATATTTTTGTGATCTGCTTTATTGTAAGTGTGTGTGTGTGTATTGGTAGATTAGTATGTTTTGGAATAAAAAAATATATATAAATAACAATATTGCAAATAAATACAAAAACATGCATTCTAATATGAATAATAATAATTACATAAATAATAAAATGTACATTTTTTCTACCTGTTTACCCCTTAAACTTAAGTGTTTTTTGTTCACAGGACAACTGCACGGCTCTGCACGCTGCAGTTAGTTCAGGTCATGTGGGCCCTCTGAAGCTCCTGCTACACCACCCATCTCCTGAACCAGACCTGGGTCTCCCTGCATCTCCTTCAGGCCCCAACCAGGAGCTCCAACACCCTGGCATAACCAGGGCCAGTCAAATTCTCAACCACAGTAACCAGGATGGCTGGACTGCTGCCCATTTTGCTGCATCCAGGGGCTACAAGGTGACATGTTTGATGATGAGTACACAGAAAACAAGAGTTAGAGGAGACTGATAAACACAGATGGTGCCTTGCATGCTTATGTATCTCCTGGTTTACAGAAATGCCTGGAGGTTTTGTGTAACCACAGTCAACAGGACATGGAGATGAGGGATAAATGCAATCGCACCATACATGATGTTGCCACAGATGACTGCAAAGACCTACTAGAGAACCTGGGTAAGTATAGTTTGAGCGATGGAGCTTTGTACAAATGTGATAGTTGACTTGATAATTGACCCCTGCCTTACCATTCAACTTTTGATTTCTACCCTATTTTAGATTGGTACATAGTGGTTGTACAGGTGCTCATGAGCTCACCGGAGCGTCTTTGCCCTGTGGATCTCCTAGAGGATGGCTGCGCTGTTGGCAAAGTTACAATTCAGCGCCATACTAGCTGGGAAGGACTAACAGGAAGCTTGAGTCATCTGCTGACCAGTCACCTCCAGCTAATTTGTGGGAGCTGGGAACTGGAGGAAGCTCTGGGCAGGGCAGACACTTTGGGGCTCTCTTCTAACAGCATGGCCTCTGTAGTTATAGGTAAACACATCTACTGTACATCTTACAATGTAGCTAGCTACTTGCCTAGAAATTTAGATTAATTTGCTTCCATTTAACTTGATTCTCTCCATAACTTTAGGTGTTATGTGTTGTGTTTAATTAATAATAATACAAATATCTCATGAAAATTCACCTCAAAACCAAAAGAAAATGTAAATTCAGAGGTTAATTAGATTTTTTGTTTGAAAGGAGTCTCTTATGCTGACTAAGGCTGCATTTATTTGATCAAGAATACAGAAACAAATTGTAATATAGTGAAATATTATTAAAATTAAAAATAAAAGTTTTCTATTGTAATATATTTTCAAATGTAATTTATTTCTTACCGAGCTGAATTTACAGCAGCCATTACTGCGTCATTACTAGTCTTCAGTTTCACATGAGCCTTCAGAAACCATTTGGTGCTCAAAACATTCTCTTATGAATGTAGAGGGCCGTTGTGCTAGTTATGTTTGTGATATTTTTTTTTTAGGATTCCTTGATGAATAGAATTTTCAAAAGAACAGAGTTTATTTAAAATAGATTATTTTAGATTTTATTGTAACAATCTAAAAGTATTTACTAGTATTTATTTTGATCAATTTAATGCATCCTTGCTGATTAAAAGTATTGATTTCTTTAAAAAAAAAACTCACTGATCCCGTCTTTTGAATGGTAGTGTATGTAATTTATGTATCCCCCTCTTACATTTAAAAAAAAAATCACATTTTTATTTCTGTAATGCAAAGAAATATATATTATTTGAAATATTTGTAAATCACTATTTTAAGTATATATCACTGTAGTAATTTTAGATTATTGTCTCCAAACAGAATAATTTTCATTCTGGTTTTTCATTTATTTATTTGTTGCATTTTTTTTTTTTTTTTTGCTTTATGGTAATTTGCAATTCAATGCAAAAAAAAGAAATCTTAATGGTCCTAAACAGCATTTTTTTTTTTTGACATGAAATATGACCTAGACATTTCTTCACCCTTTCACTCACATATTTGGATGTACAGTGCAGAAGCAGCCATGATCATTTCATGATTTCTTTGAAATGCAACCTGTAACGTAGAGACACGTTTGCAATGGCTATTCTTAGATGGCCCCAGCCTCCTGAACAGCTGCAGCGCTTCCTGAATTGCCCCTGGTCACTGTTCAAGTTTTAATTTCCCCACCTCAGCGATTTTATACTGCTGTTGTCATAGATGCAAGAAAAAAGAGATGACCAAAAAGCCCAGTATGTTATAAATATCAAATATAACTGTCACTAGTATGATTTGTGGTATAAAACTTCTGAATATAGAACGCAGCACACATCCACACAAACATGCTATTATCTACTTGTGTAGGCTCTTCAGTAGTTATGCTGACACTGGCTCTAGTGAGCGTGAAGTTAAAATGGCTCTTGTCTTGGCTGTCGTCCAACACCACAGTGGGCCAAGTAGGGAAGGACGTGGGATAGAGGCCTAACTGAGCTTGGCTCGACCCGAGGGTTGTCATGCAGGGCTGCTGAAAATAAACTAGCCTTCGCCAAGTTCTCACCTATCTCTTTCACACCCCTCTGGCCTTCTCCCTCTCTTTTTTGCACTTTCTCTCACCACTTCTTTTTTTTTTTTGTTTACACTCAACTCCTCCCTTAAGACAAGATGTTTCCAAACGCCAAGAGCAGATGTCAAAATGAAGCGATTTGGCCTACAGAGAGCAACGTGATGACTATCTACTATTCCTTACACAAAACATGAGGAGACTGACAGACAGAAAAGAGCGAGAGACGAGGATTTGGAGGATAAAAGCTGATTTATCATGGCTCTCAAGTTTGACACAGTACTACTGTAGATGAAAACTGCTCCCATGCCAGTTAGGATTACACATCCGTGTCTTTCACCATAGTCGGACACATAAATCTAGCCGATGTACCTCTCTTGAATCCTCTAGTTAAACTGTTACCTTTATGCGTGTGTATTTCAGGTGATGCTGTATGGTTGCCAGGGCAGGAGCTGCCTCAGTCTCCTTGGGACCTCGTTCGGAAGCGTCTGAGTCGACGCATTACCATACATCTTAAAGGTGGGCGTTGTAGCCATTTCATTCAGTCTCTTCAAACTAAGGCCAGTTTCACACTACTTTCACTACTTTCAAATTTAATAATAATAATAATAATTTAAAATGTAATAATATTTCAAAATTGCATAGCTTTTACTATATTTTTAAATGCTTTGAATTTTTGTAAAAATATGAAATAAATGCAGCCTTGGTGAGAATAAGATACATATTAAGATAACATAAAAAAATCGGTAACACTTTATTTTAAGGTGACATTGTTACACATTTTACATGTACTTACTATTATAATAACAATGAATTATTCATAATTACATGCAAGTGACCCTAAACCGAACCCTAATCCTAACCATATAGTAAGTACATGTAGTAAGTACATGTAGTTAATTAACATTACTCAGTACTTAAATGTATAATTACACTGTAATAAGGACATCTTAAAATAAAGTGTAACCAAAAAATCATACAAAGCGCTATTCCTATAAACCTTATTCTTTCTCTATTCTTTTTATGTACTTGTAATCTTTTTAATTATAAAAAATAATAACTTGACCCACTAACACTAGCTCTATCTATTCTATCTCTTTTCTATTTTCATTCATTGATACATTTATGAAATGTATTCAAATACATACAGTACTATTCAGTTTAGGATCAGTTTTTTTAAGGAATTAATATTTTTATTCAGCTAGAATGCATTTAATTGATGAAAGGGGACAGTTACACATTTATGGTTACAAAAAACATTTAAATAAATGTCATAATTTATTTATATTTAAATAAATGCTGAAAAAAAGCATCTTGGTTTCCAAAAGAAAAAAAAGCAGAAGAGCTCATTTCAATATTGATGATAAAAAAAATTTTAACTCTTGAGCAAAAGTTCTCTATTCTTTTTTTATTCTGTCTACTTGTTTTCTTTTTAATTATTACAAAAAAAAGTATAATAACTTGACCCTCTGACAATAGCTCCATCTAATCTATCTCTTTTCTATCTACCTTTTATTCTGTGTATTTAATATTTAATACTGTGTTAGACTAACCGGGACTTGTCACAACACTTAAATATTTTTGTTGTTTTTATTTCTTCTATTACCCTCTTTTGTCGCTCTGGATAAAAGCATCTTATAAATGATTAAATGGTAATGTAACCTGATTTGCTGATTTGGTGTTTAAGAAATGAGTATCAATGTTGAAAACAGTTGTGCTGCTTAATAGTACTGTGGAAACTGTTATATATTTATTCAATATTCTTTAATGAATAAAAAGAACAGCGTTTATTTGAAATGTTTTTTGAAACGGTCACTTTTGAATAATTGAATGGATCTTTGCTGAATAAAAGTTTTATCTCTTATGAAAAAACAAAATCTTGCCCAAACATTTGAATGATTCAACTTGTATATTACAACCTGAAGTGTTCAAAACATTACATTTAAATTAGATTAATAAATGGAGTAACAGTATTGGTTATAGTTCCTAATATGTAATGCATTAACTAATATTAACATATTGAACCTTATTGTAAAGTATTGCCAGATATTTTGTAAAATGTATCGCATTGATCTTCATTTGTGTTCCGAAGATGAATGGAGGTCTTACGGGTTTGGATTTGGAACGACATGAGGGTGAGTAATTAATGACAGAATTTTCATTTTTGGGTGAACTAACCATTTAATATTTGTATTCAGCAAGAATGCATTTAATTGATGAAAGGTGACAGTAAGACATTTGTAGTGTTACAAAAAACATTTAAATAAATGTATGAATTTATTTATATTTAAATAAATGCTTCACGAAAGCAGTGCAACTACTTTCAATGTGGATACTAATTAAAAAACAAAAATATGCAAATCAATATTATCGATATTTGAGTGATTTCTGGAGGATCATGTGACACTGAAGACTGGAGTAATGGCTGCTGAAAATCCAGTTTTGCCATTACAAGAATAAATAAAATTTTTAAATATTTTAAACCGTTATTTTAAATTGTAATAATATTTCACAATATTACTGTTTTTATTGTGTTTTCTATCAAATAAAAACGGCCTTGGTGAGCATAAGAGACTTCTTTTTAATACAATAAAAAAAATCTTACTAGCCCCAAACTTTTGAACGGTAGTGTATAAAAAAAATCTACAATCTTATTTCTATGATGTAAGATATTTGAGAGTGAAACTGGTTATTCAGAGTATACCATGTGACTGCTGAATCATTCAAATAAACATTGAGACTGCACAACAAAATCGATTACATTTTTTTCTTTTTGATAACTAATTGTTAAAGAATACGTTTTAAATGCTGTTATTTTTGTTTTAATTACAAACAATGGAGACTGGAACTTTTAAAGGGATAGTTCACCCAAAATTAAAAAACATTCTGTCAGTAATTACTCATCCTCATGTCATTCCAAACCCTTAAGACCTTCGTTCATCTTCAGAACACAAATGAAAATATTTTTGTTGAAATCAGAGCTTTTTGACTCTACATAGACAGCAACGCAACTACCATGTTCAAGACCCAGAAAGGTAGCAAGGACATCGTTAAAATAGTCCATGTGACATCAGTGGTTCAACCGTAATTTTATGAAGCTACAAGAATACTTTTTGTGTGCAAAGAAAACAAAAAAGAACAACTTATTCAACAATTTCTTCTCTTCCGAGGGTCAGAAAGCTGATAACTTAATCATTAATTGAAAAATTCATTTACAAATCGGCTACTTGTTATATCTTTCACAAACTGTCATAAAGCCTAAAGTAGATGTCAGGATTAAAGGACCACTTTAATGATGATTCTGTGGTGCTTTGCATCTATTTGATCAGTACATTGTTCCAAATACCTCCTTTGGTGACCATTGAAACAAAATATTGATTTGCATCCCTTCAATTGAGTTTCTCTGTGGCTGCACAGACTCAGGGCCAGTGCTGGACCTCTGATGATCCTGTACGCAAATCGCTTTCTTGGGTGTGCTCGGTGTGGCACCAGCTCAACGCCTGCCTGTCACGTCTGGGGACCTCGGAGGCCTTGTTGGGACCCTAGAGAGTGTGAGAGTGAGAGTGAGAGTGTGAGTGTGAGAGTGTGAGTGTGAGAGTGTGTGCGCAGAGCAGGGGACTCGAGGAACAGTATTAAGAACCGCTGCTTCAGAACATTGATTTTGAAACTTGTGAATCCATTAGAATCGTTAGAAGACAGATTCGCGATTAATATATGAATAGATTTTTACATACACCTCTAGTTTTCTTCCTCTTCTCTAAAGCAGTGCAGCTTGGCCTCTCACCCTTTGCTGCCTTTTCCTGAGGGCGGGGTTTATCAGGGTTTGGGATGTCACGAACCCGGGAAGTAACTTGTTATAGTTTTTGTAGGCATTAAACTGCCAGAATTAAAAAAAGATGATATCTCCGTTTGCATTGAACTTTCAGCTTTGAAACTTTGCAGATATTGTTTATGCTCAAACAGCAACATTACACACTAACTAACGTTAAAAAAGTGAAATCGCAATCACCTCTTTAATAAAGTAGGACGTTGCAGTTTAGGGTCAGCGATATCTTTATCTAATCTTAATTGTAAAAGATTTGCAATAATTTTGGTTTATTTTTTTGTAATATCAGGTTTTTTTTATTTTTTTAAAGCAATATCTGGCAACACTGCATCGATGATTCGGCTGTGCAGGTCCAGCTGGCCTAGAACATGGGCTGGTATACGTTATGCAAATCTTGGGGGCATAAACATTAATGAACCCGACTGTAACGTCACAGTCGGTGTTATGTTGGGATTCACCTCTTTTTCAGTGGTCTTTTGCATGCACGAGAGTTACATAAGAAGCAGGAAACAATGGTGTTTGAGGCTCACGGTATGTCATTTCCATGTACAGAACTCTTGTTATTCAACTATGCCAAGGTAAATACAGTTTTCCATTCTATGGCACCTTTAACATTTTTGATACCATGGGGAAAAATTGCCTCAACATTTAAGCAAAATAAAATTTTAACAGTATCTAAGTTATATTTTTGACCATAACCAAATATTTTCTTATCAACTGAAACTGTTGTCTGAGATTCCTCAAGGCCCAATAGGGGAAAGTACTACTACTAACTAAAATAATATTATTATTTATATTAGACATAAATATATTACTATTGTAATATAACTTAGTTGTATTTTATAACAAATAGTAAGTAGTTATTTTACTTTACAGTAATAAAACTACATGACATAATTATGTCTTAATAGCTACACTTACTTAGAGTTAAATCCTCAAGCTATTATTTTGGCGGAAATGGGTTTACAAATACTTTTCATTACGAATCTAGTGAAATGCTGTAATCATCTTTCCACACTGCTGGAGATTATGCTAATGTGAAAATAAAGCATAACTGGCACATGTTGTGATCCAAAATACATTTTAACCTCACAGCACATGCAGAGATGGAGTTTGCTGCATTTACTGTGAATCCAGAAACTCTGATATGCTAAAAACACAGTATCATGTGCTGCATACTTGTAAATGATTATAGTGAAAGCTCTAAAACACACAGTGCAAACGACTATATACCTATTTAATTAAAATACAGTGTGGTGTGTGTCAACTCACTGTTGGAGAGAAGAGAGAATGCAGCTGATACTGAAACTGTATTGAAAAATCTATCATTTTGACACTACATGAATCTGAAGGAAATTTTAAACTGTATTAAACTGAATTCAACTTTATTTTTTATTAAATTATATTGATATTTGTATTATTTCCTATGAGAGGCAGTATTATTTGTTAATATTGGTCCATGTGTCTTTGTGTTTAGGTGGTTGGTGAGGCTTTGGAATGCAGTGATAGTTCCACGGGTCGAGGATGCTGTTATATCTAGAGTAACAGCCAAACGCTCTCCCTCCCAAAGACGGTCTCCCAACAACAAAGGTCTGAGCCCAGGTCAGAGGGCGGTAGTCAAAGCAGCTCTCAATATCCTGCTGAATAAGGCTGTGCTGCAGGGCTGCCCGCTGCCCAGAACAGGTAGAGCACCATCAGAAATGTTGAGGAACACACGTTGCCACTAATTTAACTGCGCTAACTTAGCTAATTTTACAAAAAACAGCTGGGCTACTTTTTCCAACAACATTCAAACTAGCCGTCAGCCATTAAATCTTTCAGTGTAGTTATTACTGGCGCTTGCTGACTCTTTTTCTCTTTGTGTGGTTAGAGATTGACAGGTTCTTACCAGAGTTCCAGGGAGGATGTTTCCCTCTTTCCACCATTGGCTCTGCCTACAGGAAAGGTGGCAGAAAAGGACGCGATAATGGCGCTTGGAGACGAGCCAATACCAGTCCAAGGAAGAAAGGAAGCCCCGCCTCTGGGAGGAGCTCTAGCTGCTCTTTAAGAGAAGGTGAGGTGTAACTGATGGCTTTGATTTTGTAGTATGCTTATGCAGCTCTGCTACAGCAACAAGCTACTGTTGATAAAAATTCTCAGAATAATCTGTGTTCTTGTATTCTTATTATATAGGATCTCTGGCCAATTCAAGCGCTCACTCAATGATAAATGTCAATCATGCAAGGTGTGTTTTTTTATGTGGGCATATGTTTGTACTACCAGCAGATGGCAGTGTTAGTCAATGATTATGTGTGTACGTTCCTGCAGACTCAGTGAAGGAGTTGCTGTGGGTCTGTCACTCTGCTCTGATGATGAGACGGATCTCATCAGAGAACTCCAGACCATGTGCTCTAGCAAATCTGAGCCAGACATAAGCAAGGTAGTAGACATTAAAGCTCACATATACCACTGTTCAAAAGCTTGGGGTTGGTAAAATTGTTTTTAAGAACTCTCTTACTGTATGCTCACAACAGTGGCATTTATTTAATCAAAAATACAGTATTTTAATATATTTTGAAATGTAGTTTATTGAATGAATTTTTAGACGTCATTACTCCAGTCTTCAGTTTCACGTGAAATTGCTGCTCAAGAAACATTTTTTGCAAATACTGTACATGCAAGACTCACATTTCTTCAAAAAATGTCAAAATATAGTTTGTTATGATCGGTATTGGTTCATTAAAAAAAAAAACAGCTTGTTCTTCTCTTAGATACTTTCTGTTCAGGCTACACAAACAGTCTGGCACAGTTTAGCACATGGCCTTGCAGTTTTTAGGAATTGATGAGCTGTGTTCATTTCCTCTTTTACCTGGTACAGATTGCTCTTTTTAAAGAGGACTTCATCATGCTTCCAGACTCGATTCCGCCCACTCCTCAGAGGAGTGATGCCGAGGTCACGCAGCCCCAAACATGCCCTGTAACAACAGAGTGCGCTGTGGATATGCCCCATCCTCCACCACAGAAGGCAAGTCTTTGATAAAACACCATGGCTCTGTTCCAAAGCCTACTGAGCCACCTACATAGATAGCTGCCTTCTAAGGCAACATCCTAACTGTCATGGAGCCTCATCAATAAACGATTTGGAATGTTTTACATATAGTGAACAAATAGAGCATAGTCAGGTTCTGGAAGTAAACATCCTGTTCATTTTCTTCATAGGGAAGAACTTATAAGCTATGAAAGACAGACCTACTGTGAACTACAAGGTTGTTAGTAAATGCTATATGCTTTTGTTGAAGCCATCAACCCACATTATTTTAACTTTTTTTTTTTTTTTTTGGATAATTTTGTTTTTATTTTTAACATTTAACAGCAGAATTTCTGGTGAAAAAGGTGTATTACCCATAATTCTGCAAAGAAATCTCCAACAATCAGAGAATCGAAACAAGCAAATTATGCCAAAAGCACTGTTTACTCTATACTAATATATATATATATATATATATATATTTATTGTTAAGTACACAGTCTTGCAGCTTTGTTGTCTTTTTGTCCAATTTTCAAACACTTTTTTGTTTCAAATCAGAGTTGTTAATGGTTCGTTTGATTTATGCCTTATATCTCTTTAATGAAGTCTTTTTAAAATCCCTATGGAAAAAATGAATAGAAAAAATACCTCAGCAAGAGGTGCAGCTAAAAAAGTGGGCGGGCACTTTTACACAATTGATACCAATGGAGTTTGACATTAGTATGTTGCAAAGCTAACAGCATGATGTTATTATAAACAAAAAATATGTAGTGCACTCAAATATTAGGTCAAATAATCTATTTTTTAGTAATTATACTTTATATATTATAATTATATAATTATAATATTTATCCACAATATTGAATGAAATATGGTTATTCATAATCAGCATTTCTCTCATCTCATCCACTATCTTGGATTTGGCTTAAAATGTTGCCTATGTAGGTCGCTTGCTAGTTTTTGTAGCATAGCACATGTGTAAGGTGCATTCTCCACTTTTTTGTTAAAAATGTTTTGTTTTCTTTTTTTTTGTATATTGTTTTTTCTTTGAAAAGATCGACAGTAGTCACACTTCTCCTCAGCGAGTGACAAGGCCCAGATCGCATCTGCCCATCCCCAGCAGCAGAGGGGCTCAGCAGGTGAACACCTCTAGCAGCAGTTCCCTTCAGAGTCACAGCAGCAGCCCTAGCAGAGCCTCCACGAGCAGCAGAGCAAGGCAGCCCCCATCCCATAACAACAGAAACAACTTCTCACAAGACGACATCTGGTTCCTGGACCCCAGCTGTAATGAAAACTACAGTAACCGTTGATAGACACCTCCCACTGCCCTCCCTTTGCCCTCAGTCTTTTATGTTGTGAAGTTTGGTTACTGGCAGCATTTTAGTATTTGTACATGTTGTCCATACTTGTTACACTATATTACATTGTGTACTTTGGGACCATAGTTTTAATATATTCAACTGTTTAAGTAAAGAACTCTGAGGAAAAAAAAGTACGATGAGCTAACAGGAGAAAGACTGCTTGAACGTTTTACAATTTGCCTTTTAGGTCAAATGTTTTGGATCAAAGTAAGAGCTGGTAGTGTTTTTGCTCTTTAGTATTTACAATCAATCATGTTTTATGTTTAAATAAGTGAAAGTTTTAAAAACTGTCGAAAATCAGGGTTTTACCAAATATGTGTAAATAAGAACTGGGAACTTAAATGTTGTATAGATTGGTGTGTGCGTGTGCGTGCGTGTGTGTGTGTGATACTGCGCTTGTACATTGGAGGACTTTTGAAGGGAAAATGAGAAGTGTATATATTGTTTGTATTATTAAATTTTGGTTCATATTTTTTCACTCGTTTCCAAATGAACTGAATGTGGCAATAAGTACCGCCATTGCGATCACAGGATATTTTGTTTTTGTCCATTAAGCCATAATTGGTATTTTCAATTACTCTCATGCGTGCTCAGTGACTGGCTTGAACTTTGACTTTGTGAAACCCAACTATGAAATCGGAAGCGGCGCGCATTAACTTTTCGTTTGTCTTCTATATTGAACATTTAGGATAAACAAGTATTATTTTAAAGTCAGTATTGTTCATACTGAAGAGATTATAGTCGACCTCTGATGTTTAAATGTATTATAGTTGTCGGATGAGGTTCAGAGAAGTTGTCCTGTTTCCTCCAAGCACAACAATTAAAAATGCACTATCCTAGACATCACCTCAGCGCTTGGCTTTTCTTTCTCCACACAGCTAATGCGAACACTGTGTTTGTTTGAAACCGAATCATTCAGCTGGAATCGTTTATCACCACCAGCTATGCTTTTGTGTCCTCTCCTCTGAAGCTTCCCACTATAACACAAGATAAGAGTGGAATGAGCTCATTCCTGGTGACCATACAGAAAAAAAACGAGAGAAGCACGGTCTTGAAAAATATATTTGTTTCACAGAAAAGTGTTTTATATATATTTACAATTTAAAATAATCATTGTTTTTGCTTGTGCCTTTCCTAATTCCATGATATGCACAAAGAAATGAGAAAATAGAGTAATTGTTTTGCCATTTACATGATTCATATGATCCCATTTTGCTGCGTTTTCAAAGGATGCCAGACTTTGGTCACGCGTTAACTTAATAAATTAAATGTTCAGAGAAAAGTAAGGGAATAATACATTTGATTTGATCAAATAAAAAAGAACGGAGATAAATCATACAAGTTACATTATACAATTTTTTAGTGTTCAATTATTCCTGGCCTCACTGCTGTCCCATTGTGAGAGGATATTGAGTACCTCTTGTGACATTAAGAAGAAATGCATATATTTTTCATAATAAATGTTCTCATGATAGGTCATCCAATATTATGTACCATTTGGAGACCATTGTAAGCTTGATTGTTTCTGTATGAATTCCAGTTTGAGACGCTCAGAGACGAGTGTCTTGGATATTGTCCTCTGCCTCCTCCTGCAGTGTCTGCGTAACAGAGCTGAGTTTGGACTGAGGGGTGCGCATGCTGGAGTTCCGGCGAGGGAAGAGTTTGAGGCGCTCCGCTGGGCTTATGGCCTGCTTTAGGTGACTGGTCTCATTCAGCAGCTTCTGAATAGAATCGTAGGTCTTCACCTGACCTTTGTCCATCATCTGCAACAGAGATCAGAGGAGTCAGGGACAAACTTTGAAAAATATATTTTTAGACATAATAAATAAATGCCAAAAGCCATTTTGTAATCAAATCAAATTTATTTCAAGCACATCAAGGTCAGCTCAGTAGAGCAGTGCAGTGAAGAGAGTGGCGTGCAGACAATGGCATTCTCAAAAAATAGTTAAAGACACAATATGCAAGATTTTTTTTATTAAAATATCCAAAAACCACTAGAACAGTGTTATATATTTTGCTGACTTGTGTACTTACATTATCCTAAATGTTCCGAAGAATGTTTAAATCCAGAGAAATAAGCAATTTTAACTAGTGACACGGACCGTGTCCATAGTGTCATTGTGTCGCCTGCCAATGACGTCATAACCCCTCGATTTTTTTGTAGAAAACACCAAAGACACTTTAATATGTTGTGCGTTTTATTAGACCGGTGACAACCGCACAGAGTAGCATTATAACAGAACTTTCAAATGTATCTAGTGTGATAAAACTGCTGCTTTTTTTCCCACATACGCATGACCAGAAGCAGTCGACTGTGGCATAATAAAAGCTCCTCTGTTTTCGAGCCATGTGTCGTGCTCGTTCAGCGGCCTTGTTTCGCTTCTACAGCTTTCAGTCTCACCCTGCTTCATTCTACTAGTTAATAAATCATTAGCTCATCCATGAACATGATTTCTGCCCGAGTCCCATCGGATTGCATCGGCTGTGGGGATGAAGACGACAACTCCCATGATTCCACACTCAGTCACAGCGTCATCAAACTACGCCATTGTCTCTTTGTTTATTTTGAATACGCTCCCTCCAGTGGCGAAAATTACATATTATGCCTTTAAGTTAAAAAGTCTTAAATTTAGTTGTATCAAATTTAAGGTCATAAAAAGTCTTAAATGGTACAAGGAAGTCTTAATTTTGATTTCAGGAGGGCTTAAATTTTGGGACGGAAAAACAAGAATTGCGATATGACTTTAATGTAATGATTAAACTTCAAAAGGCTATGATTACATTGAATAAATACAAGCGCTGCACGTTTGAAAGTCCGGTGCTGTGCTGCTTTGTGTACTGCCGTTACCGGGGAAACCGCTATATTTCAGCCATTTTAAAAGCGTCACCTGCTGACAGAGAATGAATTTGCATTTTCAATAAGCCCTTCTGCTAGTTTTGTTCAGACCAATGTGAAAATCATCCCGTTTATCATCCCGCAGCAAACATGCAGAGTTGTAAATGTGAACTGGTGGATCGACAAGAAGATAATGCATTATAAAAATGTAAATAATAAAGACAGTAAAATATATTTGTTATTTAATATAATAATTGATAATTATTTAAAATAATATAATAATTGATACTTTTGAGTCCATTTTCTTTAAAAAATAGTTTAAATGCTGAAATATGAAGTTGATCATTTTATAAAACTTTCTGTTTTTGTGAAAACCTGTATCTGAACTGTAAATCATGCTTTTACAGGCATTTTATTTTTATTTGTGCAAATCTTAAATTTGAGCTTAAATATCCTGTAAATACCCTGGTCTGGCAAAAACCATCAATTCATGTTTTAGGTATATAAATATCCGGACCTCGGCTTTTGGGAGGGTTCATTACTAGACCTCAAACTATTTTAGTTGAAGACCCCTGCTTTAGTGTCACATTCAGAAATCATTCTAACACACTGATTTAACACACTCGAAAACATTTCTTTTTATTATCAATACTGAAAACAGTTGTGCTGCTTAGTATATTTGTGTAAACCATGATACTTTGTTATCAGGATTCTGTGATGAATATAAAAGTTCAAAAGAACAGCATTTAATGGAATTAGAAATATTTTGTAACAATTTTCTGTGTTTACTGTCAATTTTGATCAATTTAATACATCCTTGCTGAATGAAAGTATTAATTGTATTTATTTTGTACATCGTACTCACCTCAAACTTTTAAACGGTTGTGTATGTTTGCCTTTTTTGAATACCACACATAAATTGTCCCTACTATCTAACAGAAATTACTGAAATATACAAATGCTCACTCAATATTTTTGCTTTTGTCTGGTGCAACTAGTGATCCTTACAGCTGTTAAATATTTTTTTGTCTCCAATACAAATAACAGTAAAAATGTGAACAATATTTATGATATTTAAAGCAATAGTTCTCCCAAAAATGATAATTCTGTCATTAATTACTCACCCTCATGTCACTGCAAACCCGTAAGACCTTCGTTCATCTTCAGAACACAAATTAAGATATTTTTCATAAAATCCGACCCTTTCTGACCCTGCATAGACAGCAACACATCTACCACATTTAAGGCCCAGAAACGTAGTAAGGACATTGTTAAAATAGTCCATTTATGAAGCTCCAAGAATACATTTTATGCACAAAGATAACGACTTTATTCAACAATTTATTTTCTTTCATGTCAGTCTTCATCACGCATTCACAAGAGTACCACAACGCATGTGTTGCTGTCTATATAGGGTCAGAAAGCTCTCGGATTTCATCAAAAATATCTTAAAAAATATGTTTTCTGAAGATGAAGGTCTTACGGGTTTGGAACAACATGAGAGTGAGTAATTAATGACAGAATTTTAATTTTTGAGTGAACTAATCCCTTTAAGTTGGTGTTGATGGAAGAGAGGTAGTGCAAGAGCCTTACCAAGAAAGAGTGGCACTCGAGCAGCGGTTCTACTTTGTGTTCAGACAGTAATATAGTGCATGTGGAGAAAGACTGTCGTAATGTCTTCTTTAACACCTTTATTGTTCTGAAACCAAAGACAAACCACAGCCACCATTATTTACTATGATGTACATTCATTGTACTTGTGCTTAACAGCCAGTGGTGTTGGGACTCACATTGGATCGAGGTGAGCACTAGGCTCATCCAGGAGGAGGATGCGGGCTCCGCTGAGGATGGAGCGAGCCAGACATATGAGCTGTTTGTGGCCGTTACTCAGTACATAACCTCCATATTCCAGCTGGAAGTCCAGTTTATCTGGAAACTGCTCAATCACTGTCTTGAGACCGACCTTCACACATGAACACAGACATAACTGTAAATCAAGCAAATACTTTCAGCAAATTGTCTATGCATTTTACAAGAGATGAACAGGACATACATGCAATTCACTAGATGATTCATAAGGATTGCTATGTTGATCATTCATAATAGTCATATTGTATGGTCATTTTTATATTACTACTAGAATTCACAGTATATTTTAGACCTAATATTCTGCCTTGATTTGATGATTTCAAAAATAAAAATGACTCATTTTTGATGACTCAAAAATAAAAATTATATAGAATATAAATACTGTTGTCATAAAAAAAATGACACCTAAATTATAACTTAAGAACAAGAGAACAAGAAGAAGTGTGTTATTTCTGTGCCCGACATGACCGCATTTGGAGGGTAAGCATATAATTGTTCATAATGGATAACCAGATGACCTCATGTTTTGCTTTAGAAAAGGTCACTTATTTGATGAACAACAAATAGGAAACCTCACACACCCAAAAAAATTGGTAGGTGCATAAGATAACTAATAACTAAGAAAAATAATTCCACACATACCGTAGCTTGCAAAAACCTAATATTGTTAATGCAACATTTCAGTCATCCGACCTTCATTTCAAAAACTTTTTTAAATGACTGACAAAGATTGGATGACCGAAATGTTGCACTTAATATAATCACATCCTTGAGGGTGATTCTGTTATAAAATTGTTAGGAATATAAAGTGTATAACTAGCTAAGAAAGGTAATATTTAAGTTGTATTTGGAGTTTATTGTAACTGTTTTTAGTTTTTATTTATACTTTTATTTGATTTTTTAATGATTACTTTTGTTATTACTTTTATTTATTAATAATTAATGTTATTTATTTTTATGTTTATTATTTTACTTTATTTTATTGTGATTTGACTATTAAAAAATTAGCTATCTTTACCCTTAACTGCTTAGTGGCAAATAAAATGTTGCCATAGTCTCAGCAGCAGAGACAATTCTTTTCCAGTTTCTTTGAATTGCTCTAGAAAAAAGGGTCATCAAACCACTCGACCTCACAGTCATT